CAAGTTTATATGTGTATATACTTCCATACCAACACAAAGTAACTTTTGACACCTAAAAAGAAAGCTTTGTAAGAAAACAAATTGGATCTCCATTCTAATGGTACAAGATAATGAAGCAACATAGGCTTAAAAAAAGAAAAAAGCAAAAAGCTTTGGGCATTTAGGCACACATATATGATTCAAGACCAAGTTTTGTATGTACCTGTGCTCGTGTGAGACTACATTGGTCTCTAGACCTCACTGGATGAGACACTCCTTACAAGAGAAGCTTGTGGGTTACTACCTCTCACAATCAAGTCTTTCAAGCGCGAGAGAGGTTCGAGTACTCTGCTCAGCTTCTATGTTAGAGCAAACAAACATGAGTTGGGTACCATTTGTGAAAAAACATAATGATTCTTGACACAAGTTTTTTTCGATGATGTTTTTAGATTATTACCTCGCTACTGATGCTTGATTGCCACTTGAGTTGCAAAATCTGCCACCTCTCTTGTTGCCATCGTTGACCAAGAACTACGAGTCCTGTGACAGCAGCTGCAAAGAATAAGGACCATATCGCATTTGCTTCTCTTGTGCGCGAATACACAGAAATAGCTCTCCTTCTCCACCAAGCTTCACAGGGAAGGTTGTGATTGGCATCCTTCTCGCGTTTAAGGGGATTTGTTACGGTATCAGAGTCCCCAACTGCATATTCATTTGGCTCGGCATCCGTTAACCCTTGCTCATACATGTCTGTTTCGCTTCCGAACGATTTCATGTGTCTAGAAGAACCAAGAGCAGATTCATCATAGATACTCTGTTGGTTGTTTCCAGCTTCATCTGACGAGTCCCTTAACTTATCAGACAATCCCTGACCTTGGAGCATCGAGTCTTCACCGCCATCTTTTTCTTGTTCCAAAGGCTCATCAATGGGTAGATTCTCATGCTCACTTGGTGGGAATACAAAGTGGTCAGACATGTACAAATCACGAGAAGTCTCTGCTCCATAGTAAGCATCATACTTTCTTGCATCTCTCGACTCAACATTATATGGACCAGGAGAAGCAGCATAAGCTGATGAAGTAAGCGAGACGACTTCCCATTCATTCCCTCGAGGAGGATGCTCCTCATGAACTTCTTTTTCAGCCATCTTCTACCTCAGAATCTCCAATGACCCTAACAAAACAAAACCTGAAAAAGGAACCTGCTTTATGAGCCATAACTCAAATCTTGTATGCAAAAACCTCAAATAAACAATAAAATGTAATCAAACCATCATCAATGCAGGAATTGAATCCAAAAAAGCAATGAAGGGGTCGTCAATACACGATCCATTCTGGTTTGCAATCAATATGATCAAATTTCAGAATCAGACAAAAACCGATTCCTTTCTGGGCTATTTCGTCGAATCAAATCAGATACAATAGCAGAAGAGAGAATCAAAATACAATACGATCTCTTACGAAAACTACCTTATCGAATTCAAAATCGAGCTATTACAAAAACCTACATGGACTCTCAATCACGCTCGTGAAAGACAAAGATTGAGAAAATAAACAAAAGTTTTACAAGAGGAAGAATCGTTCGTCGGAAAATAAATACCTAAGAAGAGACGATACGTATTGGATTGGATCCAGAAATTGATGATGATGAAATTCTATCTCCGAAGAGGCTTGAGAATCTGGAAAGAGAAGAGCAATTATTGATACCGGCGATAACCGGTTTTGAGGTCGGCTGGAATAGACGGTGTGACCGGCTGCAGTCGGTAAACGGGTTAATATACGGTATGCGTGAAGACTACCGCAAACGCGGAAAAAAAATGCGATTTTGCGAAAACGTCGTAACACGTGGCTTGTTATTATTGGCGACTCAGAGTAATGAGTTAAAAAAAAAAAAGACTTGGTCTTCAACAAAAGGATGTGTGGCGGATGTTTGAAACTAAGAGAGAAATGGGAGATCTCTATGCTTTGGACTTCGATGGAGTTCTCTGTGATAGTTGTGGAGAAAGCTCTCTTTCTGCTGTTAAGGTTAATAATCGAATACTCTAAATCTCTGATTAGATTCCGAGAAACTCCTCCTGGGTTTTGTTTCTCTGATTCTGGTTTTCGAAATTGGAAGCTACGTTTGAAGATTCGTTGATTGTTTCGGTGTGTATAGGCTGCGAAAGTGAGATGGCCTGATTTGTTCAAAGGAGTTGACTCTGCATTAGAGGAATGGATCGTTGAACAGATGCATATTGTAAATTGTTTTCTTCCTTACTTGTTTTTAGCTCTGGTTTTGATAAATTGTTCATGTGTGAAGCTTCAAATGGTGTTTTGTAGGTGAGACCTGTGGTGGAAACTGGCTATGAGAATCTTCTACTTGTGAGGTTGTTGTTGGAGACGAAGATACCGTCTATTCGAAAATCTTCAGTGAGTGTGAATGCTTATAAGAACATTCTTCACTAGAGTTAGATGAATGATTGCACTTTGTTTATTAAGGTTGCAGAGGGATTGACTGTTGATGGGATATTGGAGAGCTGGGGAAAGATTAAGCCGGTTATTATGGAAGCTTGGGAAGAAGATAAAGATCCGTTGGTCGATTTGTTTGGAAAAGTTAGAGATGATTGGATTAAAGAGGACTTGGCAACTTGGATTGGTGCTAATAGGTATGTATGTATTGAAGATCAAGATCTTAGATAATTGAGTTCAGAATCAGAGAGTCAAAGTTAGTTCCATCGTTTCTTGCACATTTTAACTTCATAGTCTACTATGTTTGTAGATTCTATCCAGGAGTTTCAGATGCACTGAAATTTGCTAGCTCAAAGATTTACATTGTTACCACGAAACAGGTGCGTCTCTCTTCATTGTGTAATCTCAGTGTGATTGTAGTATCTGAGTGTATCGTCCCGGTTCAAAACTGTCCTTCGCTATTATGAGCTGAACTTTGCAAGTATGGGTGGGGAAAATTTTGCAGGGTCGCTTTGCGGAAGCGTTGCTGCGTGAAATAGCAGGGGTAATCATACCATCAGAGAGGATTTATGGTCTGGGCTCAGGGTCAGTAATCTATACCAATGAGCTTTGATCTTGTTTCTTTGTCCAGATTTTTTCCCTTAAAGCTGCTTCTTCTTCCTGTTTGATATCTCTTCAGGCCAAAGGTGGAAGTGCTAAAGCTACTTCAAAATAAACCAGAACACCAGGGCTTGACTTTGCAGTAAGTCTTATTCATGCTTGTTAAAACATATATGTGTCACTCATTTCTTCTCTTTACATGACATTGGTAATCATCAGTTTACTTACAATTGAATTTGGCCAGTTTTGTGGAAGATAGGCTCGCAACGCTGAAGAATGTCATCAAAGAGCCTGAATTAGACAAATGGAATTTATACTTAGGTGGTCTCTTCACTCTCCCGTA